GGAACATACATTTTTATCCTCTCTGTGTTTCCCCACTATGACGAGCTAGCAACCACAAGTTTATTATGATAAAGGCATTATGCAGGTTAGCATTTTGCTGCAAAGTAATTTAAGCCAAAGATTGGCCATATATATATGGATTTAAGGGCTGTCCTGGAAACCGGATGACACGTGAGGTCAACTGCCTTAGGGGATTTGATTAGTGTCCAGGTTATTTCGTTTCAGAAAAAGGTGAAATGAGAATCTTAGAGGACTGTTCTTGAGAAGTATCTTTTTTTTTTCACCTTACGAAACCTGTTTTTTTTTTTTTTTTTTTTTTTTGTGAGAGCCCATCTTCACCCTGGTCTTGTGAGTGTATAAGACTGCCTAGTCTTTTGGATAAATTATAATGAGGTCTTTCCTCGATTAGAAAGATCTGATTCTCAAGATGAACAGAGAGATACCATTTGGCAATTGTCCTTGCAATCTAATCCAGTACTATTCATATTTTAGGCATTCCTTCAAATATTGTGGATCATTATTAAAAAAATAGTCAAATGGAGTAAAGTTTAACCTTTTGATTAGCATTTTATTTTTTTATCGAGAATACTATATTCGTTTACCTATATTAAATAATAATTGAGACTACTAAATATAGACGGATCGTATTAGATGGCACTAGGTTGGACGCTCCCTTTATTTCCTTACGAAGAATCCTTTGTTGGAATTTAATTTACATGGGGATAATGGTCCGTACACAATTAGAAGAATTTAGGACCAAGGCTTAGGTCTGGCCATTTTCCTTGGCGTAGATTAACCTAATCTAGATGAAAAATGTTACCCCTATTTTTACCATAAGATACATTGGTTGCTTCTTGCAACCTTCACAACCAAATGCTTCGCATATAATATTTTTTTTTTAACAAACGATATTATCAACACTAAAAGGAGGGAGTAGGCTTAGTCTCACAATAACTAGTAATAATGTGGTTCAACTTCGCCTTTGAGGAGAATCGAACTTAAGACCTCTTATTTACAAATGAAAATGAATATCACTAAACTGTAATATTAAATGGTTGCTTGACATATAATTAACAAACTATAGTTGTTCTGGTTGAGTGTCCACTTTCAACGAGAGAAGAGGAGAGGAGAGACCAATTTCAATTTGGTAACGACGTACACCATGGCCTTTCTAAGTGACCTTTCCATTCGAAATGTACTTTAATTTATAACCTAATAGCTAAATGCACCCTCCACTAATGCTAGCTCTTATGAACTCTCCTTTTTTTTAAAGGAAAATTAATTAAAAGAGTTTAAAAACTTTAAATTTTAATGATAAGGATAAATTAAAGGGTAAAATGAATAGTACCAGGATTGACTTTTTAATGTAAAACATGTGGTTTTTCGTTAAAGTAAACAATACCGAGAGCTTTTCATTGAAGTTCCTCTTTTTTTAATCATTCCAATTAGGTGGTGGCTCACTCTCTCTCTCTCGGTTTTAGCTTGTTCTGTTTACTTTAATCCTTGGCGTGGCTGAGTAGTACTGTTTTAGGTAGACTACGGTGTCACAAAATGGTGCGTAATCCATTATGATTTGTATCTAGAAATTAAAGCCTGCGTGGTTATTGGTTAGTGGATGCCAAATTGCCTCTCTCTGGTTGACTATCGAAACTCCACAAGGCCATTCTGGATTTGTGCTTGACAAAAAAAATGGATTATATGAAGTAGCTAGCATCTAAATCTTCAAATATGCATGTGAAATCCAATACGTATTGTTTTTGTGAAAGTATTAAATTATATTGAGTCAATGCAATTTTTTTTTAATTGGATATATACCCTCATATTGAGATTTAAAAAATAATAATTGAAAAAATATTGAAAAATGGACGAACAAACACATGACCTTAGACGGGCGGATCCACTAAGAGGCAAGAGGGGTCAGCTGACCCTTCTAGTTTTGACAAACCTCCATTCAAGATCTAAGTGTTGTCCTTCAAAGCTTAGATTGCCCTTGAGATATGACCTCCTACTGCTCGATGAAATACCATAAAGAACATTGAGTAGGGTAGGGCAAGGCATTGTTTGCAGCTCCTTTGCTGCTGATAAAAAGTCTCTTTTGTTGCTGATGCGCAGCTTTGCATGCAGCAAAAACAAGTTATTATATATATATATATATATATATATATATATATAAAATAAGACATGGCCACTTAAAAAAATAAAAAGAACTTAAGCTTCCAGTCTAGACATATATAAAACCCAAATATTTAATATTCTAATTTTTACCAAATTTTAGATCTTTAAACTTTTTCAATTTTTCTTGTGTTGATAATGAAGCTATAATCAGCATTTTCAAATATGAAATCGCATCGTGAACTATTGTCGCTTGTAATGAACAATTGCAGTTTTTAATTTTATTTATTTCATGAATTATAAATGATGGAATTATGATTTAATTTGTAGGGCTATTTATTAGTCAAAGAAATGTTTATGCATTTTTACCCTTGACCCCCAAATAATATTTCTTGGATCCGTCACTGACCTCAAAATTAAAGAAATAGAATAATTACCCACTTAATGATGTTATTTATTTTCTAGGTGCTAAGATATTGTCAGGTTCACACTGAATCTTGAAGTACAACCTCAACTTTGTTGAAGAACGCATATATAAGGCAAAAAGAGTACAATTCTTTGGGGGAGACATGCCCTCACTCTTACCACAAAAAGTTTGCTAAGGATGATAAAAGGGTTGATTTGGACAAGATTATCAACTTTAATAAGGTTTAATCTACCTTTAGGTCGATAAAAAAGAATGCTACTTTAATAAAACACTAAGACGGCTCTAATGAAGAAGAACACTCTCAAGGATCGTAATACTCTCCACAAAATTGAACCCATATGCGAAGACTATGAGGAAGACATCATTTTTGGTTGTGGAGCAAAGTATGGAGACTGAGGGTCCCGTTAAAGGAAGCGAATTTAGCTATTGAAAGGTTGTGGCTCATCCATATTTTACTTGATCTTTCTTGACAAGAGTGAATAAGGATGTGGAAAATCCTTGGTAACATATCCTAATCATCGAAGGCTTAAAGTGGATATTGGGTTTGGAGGCTAAGGCATAAAAGAAACAAGAGATCCATGTTGATGCTTGGAACTCAGAATGAAGGACTTTGAGAAATAGAGCCAAGCCTGAGGTATTTAAAGAGGAGCTACTGGAAAATCTCATTGTCGAATTCGAAAAGCCTCGCCTAGAGATTCATGGGTTGAAGCCACTTGATGATGCAAAGAGCCGCCCCTTGTTAAATGTGCACAAACAACATGACATCCCTCGTCATTACTACCTACGCACCGCGAACTTCAAGCCAGCATGTCCGAATCCAAAATGTAAAAAATGAGCGGGTTACAAAGCCAAGATGCCATATGTCACAAGTCCTTTTCAGATACATAGTTAAGGGTAATTATGGGAACATGATTTCTAGGGCCGGAGGAAGACTGATCAGAATATGAACACCTTGGAAGTCTAGTCATGGACTTAACAGCTTCTCAACGGAGCTAAATACACGGAGTAGCGATGCCACCATCATCCAATTTTGGTGCACTAGGTGAAGTCCGACAACTTCCCTGAGATTGACCATACTTGTTCTGCATGATACAAAAACCTAACCCATCAAGGAATTAGTAGGTTTCCTATATTATTGGAGTCCTTACAATATAAGGTTTGGCGTGCGCATCAAATAATCACACTCCTAAGTGGATGCAATATTTATTTCCTAGATATCATCTGGGATTCTTCCGGTTCAATACGAATTCTCTATCATAAAAGTTCTTTTTCATGACTGATATAAATATACCCTTCTAGGGTTCATCTATGGTGACGCAATTATCGCACACTTATTCTCTTATCTACAGGTTGAGTCTCATAATATTGCTTATTAACTTGACCACCAGAGAGCCTTTGCTTGGCACACACCCTCCAATCTTTGGCTACTTACGATTGTTTACTATTTTGCAGGTAAACAGATTCATGCATCACCACTCTTCACGGCGGTACACGAATTTGGTCAACAGTAGAGTTCTGTATGAACGCGAAAATCGCTAACTTGTTACAGCAAACATGCATGTGCAATTGTGTGGGCATTCGTGGGCCGCAGTTTAGGGAATGTGTTGCACTTATGCTTCTCCATGTAAAGAAGCTTGGATTCATGCGGATTAGGCCGCATACCAAAATCATTTAGTTACCAAAGTTTAGTTTAGGGATCCAGGAAGAGACTATTGAGGCTAATTATAAGAAAGTCGACATAGATTGTCGTGCAGCTAGTTACACTGGAGCAACCGAACCCATCCACATTTGGATATCCTGACAGTTTATCCTCTCATGGAGAAGAGCATACCCAGATGGGTGTCGAGAGAGAGAGAGAGAGAGAGAGCTGACGACGCGGTGGTGGTTATTTGGTTCGAGCGAAGAGGGGGAAAGAGGTCTAGGGTCAAGGTATGGTGTGGTTAGTGATCACTGTGATCTGGTGTGGCTGGCGTTTTGACAGCCAGAGAAGAAAGTAAAGAGAGGTCGAGAAAGAGAAGGCGTCGGAATCGAGAGAGAGGAAGTGAGATACTGAGGTGAGGTAGATAGAGAATTGAGTTTAAACGATTGAGATCCAATCTCAACAAAATCCAACGGCTAATATTAATTCTTTCAGTTCGGTTTGAGATTATTGAACAAATGCTTAATGGAAACCCAATATCATACCGAAACTTTCGGTTATTTTTTTATTTTGATTTTTCGGTTTTTGGTATAGTTCGGTATTGGATATTTCGATTTTGGGTTCAGGTTTTTTTGGGAATTTTCCCCAGCCCTAATAAATATGATGCAGAAGATAAACTTATAGGACAAATTCTTAAATATTCGGGGAACTTGTCCATAGTGATTCACGCAATCAACAATGGATCCAACACCTTGTCACTACCGTAAGCAACAAGCCAATCCGTGTTGCTCTAACAATTTAACAACGGACATAAAACAAAAACAGAAACAAAAAACAAAAAGTAGACTTCAACTACCTTGATTAATAATATATGGCCTGCTATACCGGTAGAAGAAAGCATACATACAATTAATCAATTCGTAGCCGGACTTCCCAGAGACAAATGTATCTTTCTAAATCGACCTGGAGCCAGATATCTGAGAGTATAAATTCCAAATGTTAGGAACCTTGTAATCAAAATCACTAAACTAAATTCTCTCAAACTTGATTAAACGAGATCTTAAGCTTTCTGCATTACTTTTGGAAATGAATGTTGATTATGGCCACCAACCTCAGCAGTCCAGGTGGTCCGGTGGCCTTTGTAGCTGCGGAGAAGATGTTGTTACATGTAAGACATATACTCTCTTTGTATGGCACAAATTAATTTTTGTTCATTGTATTTAATAAGATTCAACTGTTTGCTCGCCCTACGAGAAAACAGTACAAAATAGTCATCGACGCGAGTGAAATAGGATGAGGTAGCTAAAACTTTTAGTCACTAATAATCGTACTTTTTCAGTATATGACACCGAGTCCCTGATAGTGCTTTGGCAACTTCATTATGTGCCACCAAATATATTGCTTATTTATAATGTTTCGATCTTTCAGTTTTGCGGAAAAATTTTGCAAGTTCACCACCCAGGAACCGGATCCCTCCGGATCCAAAGGAACTAAGCCTACTTATCAAATGATCTGGATCATTGAAATTTGATCCAACGGCTACAAACAGCGGGATCATCTAAAAATTATAATAACTGTAACCGTTTGATCAAATTTCAAGGACCCGAATCATTTGATCCTTGAGCTCAATTCCTTTGGATCCGAAAGGTATCTGGTTCCCACCACCCATGTCCAATTTTAGTGCAGATGTATTGTCAATCTTCGTTAAAAGTTATACGAAGGCCCATCCTGTGTTGCAGAAATAGCACTTTTTCTTGTATATTTGCACCAATCCAAGACCCATAGAATCATAGACAACATCGGGTATGAATTCTTGATGTCTCACAAGCTTTATTCAACTGAATTTTACTCTTAAGTCATCTAGCTAGAGGTCTTAAGTGACTAACATACCCTAAAAAGAGAACTCACTTATATTGTAGATGACTCATTTACTCAATTTTTAATGAAAATTAATGAAGGGAGTATATTCATACTAAAACATGAGTTGAGGTGGTAAATTGACAAGATTTTTTATTTGGATTATATTTGAGCACACCAATAATAATCAAGATGGTGTTTGTGCAATTTTCCCTTCATTTTATATGTATACAAAGCCAACCCAATTGTTGTTACTAATGGATCGTGTGATGTAGGTTGCATAGCATGTTTTCTCCCATGCATCACCTTCGGCCAAATTGCTGAAACTGTGGACGAAGGACAAAGCTGTAAGTGTCACAAGAGCCAAAAAAAAAACCTAAATTCATGTATACAACAATGATTGGAAATTGATTACATCAATGTTATGTTACTAATTCATGATTGTGGGTTGTATTTTATGATTTTAGCTTGCGTAAACCAAGCCATAGTCTACGGGTTGTTGTGGACGATTCAGTGCCATTGGTTCTACTCGTGCATATACAGAGAGAAATTACGCCAAAAATATGGTTTGCCTGAGGAGCCTTGTTGTGATTGTTGTGTTCATTTCTGCTGCGAATCATGTGCTCTTTGCCAAGAACATGCTGAGCTCAAATATAGAGGATTCCATCCCGCCGCAGGTTCTATATATAATACTAGACGAATATATATATATATATATATATATATCATCGCCAAGCACGTAGTTATATATTTTACCTTAAATTTATCAACTATTAAACATAACAATAGTATTTGTGTTTGTTTGTATAATGCAGGTTGGGTTGGGCCACCAACCGTTGCTCCACAGGTGCCTCCTTCCATGTTCAAATGATCTCCAACGCTTGGCAGAGGATGGTCCAATGGTTTGTGTCCATGAGTCATGCATGTTGACAAATTGTGTGCACTCTTAATCTAAGTATGTCATGTATTAAAATAATATAATATTTGGGTGTAACGCGTTTTCCTGTTCAAATAAAATGTGATGAATATATTTATAATAAAGGAGTGGGAGAATAAATTGATTATGAATTTGATAGACTCACTATTTGATCTTAAGATTTCTTAGTTACAAGTGAAAAGAAAAATCTTACTATACTAAATGACTTGTTCAAATAATATTAAACAATACAATTTTGAGACATTATTGATATATTTAACACACATCCAAGTAGGGTTGGAAAAAATTCTCGAAAATCCCGAACCAAACCAAAAAAAATCCCGATCCCAAACTAAAATTCCTGAAATTTTCGGGATGAAATACCAAACCGATCCCGAAATTTCGGTAAGGGATTCGGTATTGTCTACTCAATCTTTTGGTAATCCCATACCAAACCGAAAATAAATATTGTATATATAGATACACACACACACACACACACACATTTGAATTGTTGCTAACTGCTAGTAGCAATATAATTGGTTTGGTCTACAAGTAGTAACCGTAACCCTTTATTGTCACATTTGGCAATACAAACCTCCCACAAAGGTGTCTATTTCTCGAACACAATATCAAAAAATTGTATTGTTAGTTTTTGAACATGTTAGATTTCTAACTTATTTTTTTTTGCTTTTGGGTTTGTTACTTATTTTATTGGGTAAATTACACAGAACTACCTCAACTATTGGGTTATTAACAGTTTCATACCTCGTCTTTAAAAAGTTTCAATGTCGTACCATATCTTCGAATTTGTTGCAATGTCATACCTTCCGTCAGTTGTCTGTCAATTCCTTTATTAAATGCTGACATGGCTTGTGACGTGGCACACTTTCTATTAAAAAACTAAAAAAATATTATTAAAAACTAAAACAAAAAATCATTTAATATTTTTTAATTATTAAAATAATAATTAATTAAAGAAAAGTTATTAAAATTAAAAATAAATAAATAAATAAAAAACCCCTACCCCAGCCCCCCCCCCCCCCAACGGCCCAACCCCCTTCTCCCCCTATCCCCTACAACCCAAAAAGAAAGAAAGAAGAAGAAGAAGAAGAAAAAAAAAAAAACCTAACCCATGTTCGTCTTCCCCCCCCCCCCCCCCCGGGGGGCCCAACCCCCTCCTCCCCCCACCCCCTGCAACCCAGAAAGAAAGAAGAAGAAGAAGAAGAAAAATCCACCCCATGTTCGTCTTCCCTATGCCCAACCCCCTTCTCCCCCCACCCCCTGCAACCCAAAAAGAAAGAAGGGAAAAAAAAACAAAAAACAAAAAAAAAAAAAGAACAACCATCTTCATCTTCCTCGACCCCCTACCCTGCGACCCACCCATTTCTTCATCCTCCCGTCTTCCCCTTCCCTCCTCCTCCACACCCACTACCTGCAACCCAAAAATTAAATAAAAAAAAAACAAAAAACAAAAAACAAAAAAAAACCATCTTCATCTTCCCCGATCCCCCTTTCCCTGCAACCCAGATCTCATCTTCCGCCGATTCCGCAGGTGGAGAAATTGGGCACGGAGAAAATGGAGGGAAAGGGTGTGGATTTAAGGAGTGGGGTGTGTAAAGGAAGTAAGAGGGTGGGTGTGGAGGAGGAGGGAAGGGGAAGACGGGAGGGGAAAGAAAGGGGTGGGCTGCAGGGAAGGCGGGGTCGGGGAAGATGAAGATGGGTTTTTTTTTTCCTTCTTCTTCTTCTTTTTCTTCTTTCTTTCTAGGTTGCAGGGGGTGAGGGGAGAAGGGGGTGGAGGGGGAGGGGGGGAAACGAACATGGGTGGGTTTTTTTAAATTATTTTAATATTTAAAAAATATTAAATGTTTTTTTTTAGTTTTTAATAATATTTTATTAGTTTTTTTAATAGAAAGTGTGACACGTCAACGTTTAACAGAGGAATTGATAGACAACTGACGGAAGATATGAAATTGTAACAAATTCTTAGATGAGGTATGACATTTAAACTTTTTAAAGACGAGGTATGAAACTGTTCATGATCAATAGTTTTGGTAGTTCTATGTAATTTACCCTATTTTATTTTTGTTACATGTTAATTTAACTTGGTATGACTAATTGCTATTTCAATTTGTATAAAATTTGGGAATACCTAATCATCCCGAAATACCGAAAATATTTTGGGAATACCGAAATTTTGGTTTGGGATTGGTCTTCAAATTCTCATCCCGAAAATTTTTGGTTTGGGATCAAGATCCTATTTTCAGTTTGGGATCCCATGCCTAATCACCCCTACATCCAAGAAAGGGTGGACCACGTTAAGGCCAAAGGTGGCCCCCAGTAGACTTGACAATTTCTTACACAACTCGTTAACACAATACGTAAACGACACGAAAGCAATGGGTTCTGGGTTGACACGATAACTAATCGAGTCGTTATTAAGTCACACGATAAGAACCCGTTAATAACGGTTCCTTAACAGGTTTACACGAGGATGACACACAGGTAATCATTTCGACACATTAATAAAAATGTTATTATGATGGTTTTAATTTTTTAAACTACTAAAAACACTTAGGGTAAAGTACAAAAAACTACCTCAACTATTGGTGTCACGACACTTTCATACCTTATCTTTTAAAATTGACAATGTCATACCTCATCTTTAGAATTTGTGTCAATGTTATACCCTGTTAGCTTGGCCGTTTATTTCTCATTTAAATGCTGACGTGGCTTGATCCGGGACCCAGTTTTTGTTAAAAAAGTATTAAAATATTATTAAAAACAAAAAAAATTCATTTAATATTATTTAAATATTAAAATAATTAAACAAAGTACATAAAAAAAATAAAAAATAACCTCCCTTTTGTCCCTCCCTCCTCTCTCTCTTCCCCATCTTCCTGCAACCCCAGAAAGAAGAGGAGACGAAAGAAGAAGAGAGGAGGAAAAAAAAAAAAAAAAAAAACCCAAACCCAACCCATCGTCCCCCCACCACAAACCCAACCTCCTGCAACCCAGAAAGAAAGAGAGGAGGTAGAAGAAGGAAAAAAAAAAAAAAAAAAAAACCCCCAACCCAACCTGAAGAAGAAAGAGAAAGAAGAAAGAAGAAGAAAAACCAGAAGAAAAGAGAAAATGAAGAGAGAAGAAGAAGAAAGAAGAAAGAAGAAAAAGAACAAAAGAAGAAAGAAGAAAGAGGAGGTAGAAGAAGGGGAAAAAAAAAAAAAAACAACCCCAACCCAACCCGAAGGAAGAAGAAGAAGAAGAAGAAGAAGAATAGGAAGAAGAGGAGAGAAGAGGAAGAAGAGAGAGGAAGGAAGAAGAAGAAGAGAAGAAGAAGAAGAAAAGAAGAAGAAGAAGAAGGAAGGAAAAAAAGTGGAAACTCGTCCTCCCTCCCCCACCCCCCACCAAAACATACCCACCCATCCTGCAAAAAGAAAAACAAGAAGAAGAAGAAGAAGAGAGAAGTAAAAAAAAATGGGAAACTTGTCCTCCCTCCCCCACCCCCCAAACATACCCACCCATCCTGCAAAAGAAAAACAAGAAGAAGAAGAAGAGAGAAGGAAAAAAAAACCAGTTCGTCTGTCCCCCACCCCCCCCCCCCTCGGAAGAAGAAGAAGAAGAAGAAGAAGGAAAAAAAAATGGGAAACTCATCCTCCCTCCCCCCCCCCCCAACATACCCACCCACCCTGCAAAAGAAAAACAAGATCTGGGTTTCCCGATTCCACCTCAATGGATTTGGCTTTATTTTTTTTTTTGGATTGCAAGTAATGGGTGCGAGGTTGGGTGCAGAGGGTGGGTGCGGAGAGTGGGTGCGGGGAGAAGAGGGGGTGGGGAGCAGGGAAAACAAATTGGTTTTTTTTTTTTTCCTCTTCTTTTTTTTTCTGGGTTGCAGTTGCAAAAAGGGGAAAAAGATGAAGATGAGGAGAAGAGAGAGAAGAGGGGAAGGGGACGAATTGATGTTGTGATGTTGTTTTTTTTTTTTTTAATAACTTTTCTTTATTATTTTAATATTTAAAAAATATTAAATGATTTTTTTTAATTTTTAATAAAAAATGGGTCCCAGATCAAGACACATCAGCATTTAACTGAGAAATAAACGGCTAAGCTAACAGAAGGTATAACATTGACACAAATTCGTAAGATGAGGTATGACATTGTCAATTTTAAAAGATGAGGTATGAAAGTGTCGTGACACCAATAGTTAAGGTAGTTTTTTGTACTTTACCCAAAAACTTATTACAAAATACAATAGCTATAATGTATATGTATATATTGCACATCAAATATGTATCATTGTGTGATTATTCGATATAAATTTAAAAAGTTTAAGTTTTATTTATTTATTTATTTTAATAGTATACCATAGGGAAAGAGTGAGATTAAAAAAATATAAAACACATTAAAAATTAAAATATCAAGTAATTTTAAACTACCAAACACATTAAAAAATTGCAATAATTAATTTACAAGTGCAAAAAAAATATGAAAATATAGGCAAACGCTCGTGATCACATCTCTACGCTTTGACGATGGGTACATCGCCGTTTGAATTTTTAGAACCATACAAACCCTCATGACTAGTATTTTTAAGGGGTTCAAAATAAATAAAATTCATAATCATTAATATACAAGTTTGAAAAATGTGAAAGCATATATAAATGCTCGTGACTGCATCCTCAATCTTGAAACACCACTCTCTTTATTTTGCATATCTTTGAACATTTGATATTTTGTAGTAATATATTAATGTTTTTTCATTAGGCTCTTATTTTGGGGTATGTAATACTTGAAAGACAAATGTTTTTTTTTTAATGTTTTGAAGTAATAATTATGTGACAATGTGGTATGCATATACTAATTTAGTATTATGTTTTCCATTTTTTTTGTTCAAATTATGTTTTTCATTTTCATTATTTATTGATTTAAAATATATTTTCTTTAACAGAAAATGAGTC